CGTGCGCCTGGATCCTCGGCCTCTTCTTCTTCCTCATCTGCTACCGGCGCCCCTGACTACGCCCACGTTGCGAAAATGTCCCTTGCACTTCACTGAATGCTCGTGCAAGTTCCCCGCTCGTTGCTACTTCTACTTTGCTAAACCAGAACTTTTTTTTTTCTCTCACAACGGGTAACTTTTACTTCCCGTGTCATTAATTGAAGAAACACTTTACTGAATCTGCACTATCTCGCGGACGACTGACTAGAACGTCTATTCGACGCCGAATACTCCTACCTAGCAGTCGTTGCAGCGGCAAACAATATCTAATGTTTCACGAAAGTGTTGACTCGGTGACTGGTGATCCAAATGCTTCTTACTCGACGATCGGTGGTAAAAGAGGGCTTCCGCTTGCGGGTTCGCGTATTTATCGTCCGACGCCTGGGGAAATTCTCAGTGGTGGGGCTGCTTCCCCTCTCTCAACCCTTCACTAGGAAAACATTTCTTGCTAGTTTGCCTTCGTTTAGTACGGGCAACGGATACCAGGCCGCGAGTTTACGAACCTCTGTTTTCTGCGCCTGTTATCCTCGCTGCCTCCGTAGTGTTAACACATATGAGACGGTGGTGTTATGGGGTTGCACACTTGCATGGGGGTGCACCACTTATGAGTGCTGGTCGTTGTTATTTGTATTCTTATTTGGATAATAAATGTGCGAGAGCTTTCAGGAACATTTCCCCAGTATATTACTCCATATTTTAGGTGTGAGTGCACATTTGCAAAATACGTTGTTTGAAGTGTCTCAATGTTGGAGCTTGACCTGAGGGTGTATGGGGCATAGCAAGATTTGGTGAGCTTCTTGTTAAGATTTGAGAAGTTTGCATTCCATTTTAGAATTTCTTGAATTGTTAGACTGAGGAAGGTAGTTTCATGAGATATCTTTGCAGGGTTATTATTTATAAGCAAATGCTGTGAGAGTTTTTTTTTTAGATCGGGTATTCATAAAATTTAGAGAAGCTGTCTCGCTGGTGTTGATGATGGGTTTGTTGTCTTGAAACCATTTTACTAGTGCATGCAGTTTTGTGAGTTTCTTTTTCTAATGATTGTTGTGTTTTTGCTTTGATGATTATGTTTGTGTCATCTGCAAAACCAAATTATTTGGTTATTCCTTAAAGTCATGTTGCATATAAGGAATAGTATTGGCCCAGGATGGAACCTTGCAGGACTCCACAATTTATCATCTGAGGGTAGGAGTAGTATGAGGAGAATTTGTTTTCTTTAGTGAGGCAACTATTTGGCCATGGTTAGATTTGATCCATTGCCCTGCAATGCCTCAAATCCCTAGTTTTGTTAAAAGAATGTGATGGTCAATAATGTCAAAGGCTTTTGACAAAACTAGGAAAAAACCAATGGGAATTTCCTTCTGATTTAATGCAACAAGTATGTCATAAAATCTGGAATGTTGTCTAGACCTGTTGAGAATTTATTCTCCATTTGTCCAATAATTTTAAAAATTTCAGAGGGGGTGGTTTCATATAAAAATATGGAATTACAATTTGTTTAACATTAGTGTTTGGTTGGTGTGTTTTATTGTTTAGAGACTGTTGAGAGATTATCTTATTACAAATTTGTGAAAAGTGTTCATTGAATATATCAGCTATTTCTTGTGGGTGTTGTACAGTTTGGATTTTGTAGTGAAGCTCTATATTATTATTATTTTTCTGTTATTATTAGTTGGTGCTATAGTCTTTTTAATAATGTCCCACATAGCTTTTGTTTTATTATGTGCATTTGAAATGTACTTATCATTTGTCATAATTTTTGCTTGTTTGATTACTTTTTTTAGAATCGGATTATGTTTTGTAATATGAAATGAAGTTTGAGTTCCATTTGTTAGTATTTTATACATGTTGTGTTTTCTTTCATAAGACATGTTAATTGATTAAACAAATTTTTCTGGGGCAAGGACCCACAAAACATTGTTACTGACTATATAGCATGTTAGAGGAAGTAATTTACTACACATTTAAACATCATTTATCCACTTTTTCAATATAAGGGCCCTACAAGCTTTTCTGTTGAAAATGACATATTTTGACATTGTTTATAAACTTGAGTAATATTTTTATTATTTTTGTCTTTACCTTAAAAGTAAAAAACAATGCCTGAATGTTATTATTTTCTGTTTTTCTAAATCAGGAGCTAATTATGAAAACAACTAGGGCAAAAATAGTCACCAACATCAAATTGTTTGTTACACTATAAAACTATTTTTTTCTTGAATGCTTCATTTGAATTGCCGCTTGAACTTACTAATGTACAGAATTTGGGATAAAATCTGGGTAAGGGAAATTTTTGTAAATGAAATATCATAGCTTTGTGATAATTACTCTTCATTTAAAACAACAAATGTTTGTGCAATAGCAAATAAATGCCAGTGGTAGAAAACAAGGAAGAAAATATCTAAATATTTGTTTAATGTTACTCTTATAAATAATTCATCCATCTTTGAAACATTATGAAAAACAAAAAAACAAAAAACAAACAAATATACAAATAATGTGAGAAGCAAATGCATAGAAATGAATTAAATATTAAAGTTCAAATTCCTTGTGATTAACATGATCATTCTTTCAATATTACTGTACAAACTGTACAAAATCATGCATTACGTAAATACACAACGTTTAATTGATTGAATGGTACATTTAAGAAAATCTACACCTCAATTGTGATAACATTCTCTACTATCAATGTGAAATAATTTTTCACAGAACAGTAAAGCTGAACATTGTACAACAGGTTCACTGAAAAAAGATTTTTATTCTAAATCAACCACTTGACACTTCATTATAATGAACTATACACTCACTACTTGTAATAGTTCCTTCACAGCTTTTAATTCCTTTGCTCAGTAACAGTCTAATTTTCACTTCACATACATTGGTTCAAATGTGTACAAGGCTGACAAATAGACTTATCCCTGGATGTTCAATACCTTGCTGCAGAAACACCAAAAATGGCCTTTACACAGAATCATCTTTGGTCATTGTTATCTATTTAATTAATATAACATTAAAAATTCTAATGAAGTTTCTTGTAAAACCACATGATAATTCTGCATACAGTCAACTCGGCTAATACACGGAGTAAAATATATACGGCCAATTCAGTTTATGAGATTTTTTTACTCTGATGTATAATTCCAGCCAAATTGATTTCATATATACTCCAAATATACCCCCAAAATTTGCATTAATTAGAGAAAAATTATGTAATAAACCAAGCAACATCGAGTAATAATTGAAATTTTACATGTTTATTTTGCTTTGAGAATAAAAAATACCTACACAGTTAATGAATCCACTTAAATCTTCACATTCATAAAATATATCACAAACAAAACTTCAACTGCATGTACACTGTCATTAAATAAGGGAGAAATGTATTAGTGGCAAAGCCAGGCACTTGCAGTTGCTCCAAGTTCTCTAGTCAATTTTTTTTTACAATAAGCAAGGCACTTCAGTACCTACCACATGAATCAGAAGTACTGGAGAAAACTATTTATTCTACTTAATCTGAAATAATGTTCACAGGTAATGCAGTTCTTCTGTTGATCTCAGTTTTTCTCAATTACCTTTCTTGGAGAAAAAATAAACCAATCATTTATATTCATTTTTCAATAATGTATAGCATATACATTTAGTATTCTTAATGAATAATAGCAAAAATATAAAATATTATGAAAGACATAGATTTTTATTAGAATCTTGAACTCCAGACTTCAGGGGCAGGCAGTAAGTACTTGGACACCACAATGTGGACTGCAGATTAGGCAGAACCAAATGTGTGCCAAATTAGGTGCACACAAGCACAAACATTTTTCACGTTCCAAAGAAAACCAAAGCTCTTGGACAACCTGCAATCTCACAAAAACATTAAATGACTGAATTGTTATTGAATGATTTATCAAAATGCAAAATATTAAAGAACAATTAAAATAATAATTCAGAACTCACAGTAAAATGTCGAAGTATGCAGTACTATAATAATTAAATAGCAAAACACATTAAGCTTCAATTTTTCATAATTTCATTCATTTTCTTGACCAGCCACTGCAACAATGCATAGAATGTAATTAGCAACAAACATTATTGACTCAAGGTTACATTAGGAACTTTGAGACTTATCGCACATTATAATTAAATTATTGGAAATATTGCATGCAATTCAAGCTAAACACCTATGTAATAATGACACAAGACTTAGAAGAAATTAAGAAAAAATAACTTGCAAGAAAACATTGATTATTAATATTAAATATGTTATATATAAATAATATTATATATGTTAAAAACAAAAACTGAAACATACTACAGAATATGAATCGATACTGGTAGGTTAGTAAGCAGAACAGAATTCATGCATAATAAGGCTCATGAAGCTGGAATTATAAAAACTTTAGACTTATCTACAAGGAATTAACCAATATTAATAAAAACTAAAAGTATGAGCAAATTGGATAAAAGTTTGACAATTATTTTATTTAAATGAAAAATTATATTGATAAAACCAGAAAAAGGACAAAATGTAAAATAATGAAGGACAGGAATATAAGTGTAGCTAAAATTATCAAGGAACGATAAAAGACAAAGAGAAAAGGACACTTTACAAAATGATGCAAGTCTCATATTTCTTGTACTTCAAATTTTAGAAACCTGCAAAAGTTAGAAACAAAGCAAGAAAGTATGTTCTGATGTATCACCACTAGTCTTAAAAAGCATTAATATTTTGGGGGAATGCCCACAGGAAATTATGGGAAATTTAGGAAGGAAATACCCACAGTAAATTATGTATTGATCTGGTATATATAAGAGATTAACAGTGTAAAGTATAGAATAGTGTGAAAGTGCAAAAAGGTGTATTAATGTTTGAAGAGTATGAAAAGGGAGTGTTTTTTCATGAGAATTTCAAAAGGGTATAATGATTTTCTTATTTTGTTAATAGTATGTGTGAAACTAAGTTAATGAACTGAAAGTTCCAGATAACAAAACTTGAAATAACTGATGTAAGAAAAGTAGAGAATGTGAATAATTTAATTAAACAAATTTACACATTATGAGATATATTGATTTTTCCATACATAATAACCCATTAAACACATCATTTTGTTACCGATCATATCTTTGTGTTAATGAAAACAACCTTAAGAAAGACTTTCGCTGTTAGTCTTTCCCTACCCATGGGGAAACGGTAGAACCAATGTGTAGAAAAGCAGTGATGAAAGAGGAGGGGATGTTGAGAAAGAAGATGAGATGCAGACAGATAACACTGACGAGAGATTATCAACCTCAGTTGTTCTGAATGTGAGCAATAGCCTTTAAAATTCCCTGAGAGAGCCTTGGGGAGAGATTAGTTTTGTTTCTTGTTTCTCACCTTCTGGAAAGTGATAGTGAAGTTCCCATCAGACTACACCCCCAGCAAAGATGTCCTAACTGTTCGAAAAGACCATGTTTATTGGGAAGACTTCCCAATACTTCACTACAGGTGATTAAAATTTAAAGATAAGGATTCTTTGGACTTGACTTGTGATTTTATGATCAAATCTTGAAAAATCAGAATTTTGAAAAAAGATGTGATGAGATTGAATCCTTGCAAAAAAACTACGGCTAAACGAGTAAACGAAATGTCAGCAAAATTACAAAATATTGAAACACTTAGAGCAAACCCCAAAACTTACTCTGAGATCGTTAGAGAGATTGAGGAGAGCGAGTTACGCAAGAGGAATGTAATTCTTATGGAGTACAGGAATCGACAAAGGATGATGTTGAAACTAAAAACTCTAAAGATCTAATCGCTGTTAAAGAAATACTAAAAAATCTGGATATACAAGCTGAGCAAAACATTGAAAAAATTATTAGATTAGGAAAACTGCATTTAGAGGATGAGGATTCTAAACCAAGACCTGTTAAAATAATTTTGAAGGAATCTGCCACTGCCAAAGATATTTTAAAAAACCAAAAGAAATTCCCACAGGGAATTAAAGCTAAAAATGATCTAACCCCAATGCAGAGAACTGAATTGAAAGATCTTATCGCAGAACTGAAAAGCAGACAAAAATCAAACTCAAAACTTGTCATTAAATACATTAGGGGAGTTCCGTGCATTGTAGAGGGGAAGGAAAACGAGAAAAGGCAGTGACAAGCAACCTGGATACAAATACAAAAATTATGTACACGAACATTGCCACTCTCCTTCCAAAGTTTGACCAATTCCTGATAGAAGTTGACACTGTACAACCAGATGTAATTGTAATAACAGAATCATGGCTCAACTTGAACATTCCTGACTCTCTGATACAGGTACCTGGCTTTCACATGTACCATAGAGACAGACCGGACAGGCGAGGAGGGGGAATAATAACGTATGTAAAACAAAAAATTGGAAGTACGATTGTGAAAGTGACAAATATGTATGAAATACAGGGCCCTGATGTGGAGGCTCTCTGGTTGAAACTCGAATATGAGAACATACTATACGCCGTAGGAGGAATATATAAACCACCAACATCCGACACGAGACCTCGGCAATCAGACCTCAAATTATTTGAGAAAATGGTTATGGTAT